TATTCAAAGCCCCATCCATATTTCCCTTACCCGTTTTTGTTTTAATCACAGGACAAGTTTTTGGAGGGCCAGAGCATCTGGGCCAGCTTAGAAAAAGTGATGTTGATGTGAAGAGACAATTCCGTAAAGGGCCATTCTGTCAGCCATTTTTGATGCAGTAAATGATTCTAATACAGCATGTAGATCAGGCTGCTAAAAGTCAGTTTGCTCTCACTCAAACTGGAATACTTACACTTAAACTGGGTCAGTCCCATTAATTTAAATGGATCTCCATTCATCTAACTCCAGACTCCTGGAATAATATCAGCAGACAAGCTGTGGGGGCCAGCAACTTCATAAACCAAAATATGCCAGCCATTTCCAAAATCCCTACATAGTTAATCAAAGGTTTGTTCTACCCAAAATGGATGTTGTAGAACTAAGTACATCCACCAAACAGGATACCAACATGTCAAAACAAATAGATATCAAATGATTATGCTTGATGGTAAATAATGGAAGAAAATTTAAGAAACAACAGCTATAATTCAAGGGGTAGGAAACTGAGGTTGTTATTTACTATTCTCACTACTAGGAGAAGAGAACATACACCAGACTAACTGGATAGTATGTTAAAAAAAACGTTTTTAATGTTAGAGACTATGACCTTTTCCAGCTAAAATTTGGCAGAACCTATCCGAAGCTGCTTTGCTTTTGATGAGAACTCAGTGTATTTTTAGAACAAACGGGTACATTTCAAATATTTACTCCATTGCTAACCTTCTTTCACGATGCCTAAAATAGAATACATACAACATGCAGGTCTGCAAACGTGAAGAAAGCCGACCCTGCATCAGATCTTTCTCTCTCGGCTTCCTACATGTTGCGTCTGTTCTGGTATACGTCTACACACACACGCCCCACGGAATGAACTCTGGTTGCTGTTCCATACCTAGCACCTTGGTTCTGGACAGAGTTCTAACAAATAAAATCGCCAATGGCCTTGGGCAGTGGTGAGCGCTTCAACGCTGGAGGCATTCCAGAGAACACTGGACCACCCTCCGTCAGATCTGCTTGGATTTGGATCCCTGCCTTGAGCAAGAGATTGGACTCAACTTCCAACTGCATTAGTCCAGGATTCTAAGTTCACTGCTTCGGGATAGCAACCCCATACAGTAGAATGCCAACACAACCACCCCCGAGGGTAAACTAAGCTGACAGGGATCTCAGACGTGAAGCAGGGGGTCCATCTGGGACAACGATGGCTAGAATCATAGCATTTTCAGAGCAGAGACAGAAATTTCCAGAGGCCAAAGTGTGCCCGAGAGTTAATGATACATTTATACTGGTTGCAACGCAGGCAAACAGCCTGCCGGCAGGAGGATATGAAAATAAACCAAGTTTAAAATGATGCTTAATATAACCCTGCTGACTTTATCTGCTTCCAGAGAGGCCCCTGAGGTTAAAATCTAGCCGTTCTGATGGGCCTGAACACGATCGCCAACAGTCCCCTTTCCCTCAGCTGTTTCCCACACTGCAGTGGTCAACTTCGATGAGCAGCAGGTCATGTTGGTTTTGTGTATGTTGCCCTTTAGTGAGGAAGAAGCCCACTGACCGCTCTCTCTGCCCATCGCTGGTTGCCATGTGGGCATCTTTTTCTCCCCATGTTTTGTGAAGCAATCCCACGGTAGGCTTCTCTCTCTCTCCCTCTCTCTTTCTGGCTTCCTAGAGAACTCTTCTTTTCTGCCCTGAACAGAGGCCTGGATGAGAAATCGTTTAAATTCCTGGCCTTAAATTTTTTTTGGAAGCCGTAACTACTTTGCTCCACGGTGGGCTGGAAATATATTTCCAATTCTTAGGAAAAAGGAGACAGTAAAAAAATTGACAGGAAGGAAAATGATTCATTCTTCAGCCAATCACATACAAAACAGATCTATCCCTTTTATGTCTGTTTACTCCAATAACTAGCAATGATTTAACCCAAATTCCAAGGTCTCCTAAATTTTCTGAGGAAACAGGCCATGATTTCTGGTGCCTTCCTCTTGGCCAGAGAGCTTCCTCATCATTCATTCTCTAAGTGACCTCGTCCATCTGGCACTGAAATACAGAATGAAGAAGATAATCTTGGAAAACAAAGATCATGCCTTAAAAACTGGAGAGGTTCTTGCTTGAAAGCCAAAGAGCCATGGACAGTTAACGTTACCCATCCTGGACTGGACTGGCCAATGGTACGACCTAGTGTACAGTGTCTTGTTTAGTAGGTCTCCTTGATTGCAGGTTGAGGTACGCCTTGACAGTCCATGTTTGCTGACTGTGATGACTACACGGCTTCCTCTCAACACCCCTAAGGCTCCACAGCTCTTCCCCCCCCCCCGCTGCAGGGACTCCCACAGTGATCTCCATCAGAGCTTGGTAGTTGCAAGTAATGCAGTTACCTCTCACCAGTTATTTTTTTTTATACAGAGTAATTTAAAGAACAGCTGCAAAGGTCAAATAAAAGCAATGGAACGGGTCACTACAAAGTTACTTTCTGGGTATAATGTTTTCTAGTCATCTACAAGAGTTATTTTTGAAAAGGGAATGCTAAAGCACATCAGAGATGTCATGATAATTCTCCAATCCATTCTAAACCATGAAGCACACACTCTTTTTATTTTGCCTTTTGTCAGCCAGCTCTGCACATTCCCCATGACAAAAATAAATACCTGAAGGAGTATTGAATAATAATGGAGGTGTGATCGATCTGATTGCCTTCGCTAATATATATCCTCCATGCTCAGGCTGAAATAAAATAGTAAATTGCCACCAACTTCAAAGTTTGGTTACTTCAAAAAGCAACTGGGTGGTCACTGTCAGGAGCAAAATGCTGGTGATAAGATCCAGGAAAAATGAAACAAAATAGCCTTCCCCCCCAAAAAAGAGTATATGTTCTTTTATGTTTCTACTTATGAAAAAGGGTTCCCAAGAAAAAGTTGGCGATCTCTGGAAAGTCAACTCTATTTTTAAAAGTTTTTTTTCTTTCCTTCTGCCTTCATATAATTCCAAAACTACGCAGCAACAGCAGCATTCTTGCAACACCCACAGAAAATAACTGTAGTTAATCCCATTCCAGATACCACCCAAAATTATCCACCAAAAAGAATGTGTCTTCCTGTTCAAGCAAACTATGAACAGACAACCATTTCCAACCCTGGCTAGGGCTGCCAATGTCGTTCTACGCAGAACACGAGAAGACAGAACTGGGAGGAGGACGAAAAAACTCCGTCACTGGCAACGAACCACAACCAGATCAACAAAATAGCCTTGGAAAAGGATCCGGCTCAGAAGCTTTTCACGCAGGGTTTAAACGGGGAGGAGAAGAGGGTGACCATCCTGACTCAAAACTCAAGGTCAGTTTCCCAAGGTCTGTGGTGCAATTTCTTTCCAGCACGCTTCTACAGTGGTGCCTCACATGACTATGATAATTTGTTCCCCTGAAATCGCTGTACAGCGAAATCGTCATGCGAAAACAGTTTCCCCATCGGAATGCATTGAAAACTGGTTAATGCGTGCCTTTGGGGAAAATACCTCGTCGTCCAGCAAAGATCCTCCATAGGGCAGCCATTTTGTGAGCACCGATCAGCTGTTTTTAATCGCTGTCTTCCGAAGAATGGGTCCGGAAAACATTGTTCTCCTGAAATCGCTGTACAGCGAAATTGTCATGCGAAAACAGTTTCCCCATCGGAATGCATTGAAAACTGGTTAATGCGTGCCTTTGGGGAAAATACCTCGTCGTCCAGCAAAGATCCTCCATAGGGCAGCCATTTTGTGAGCACCGATCAGCTGTTTTTAATCGCTGTCTTCCGAAGAATGGGTCCGGAAAACAGCGGGAAGCCATTTTGCAAACCCGATGATCAGCTGTAAAGATCGTCATCTTGCGAATAAACGGTCTGCGAAGCATGGACCAAATCGTCATGAAGCGGAATTTCCCCACTGAAATGCCTGTTTTGCGAATTGCTATAGCAATCGCAAAAGTCATCGTCCTGCGGTTTTGACGTTTAGCGGGGTCATCCTCATGCGGGGCATCACTGTATGTTTATATTTTTTCCCTATAGCAGGCACTAAACTTTCTCACACTGTAGGGCGGTCTCCCCAACTTCTCGGTTGCCGCAAGGGAAGTGCCTCCTTCGGTTGCTGGGCTATGGAAATCCAAAGAACCCAACTTCTAATCTGAACATAGACTCCTAAATAAGAAATGGAGTTCCGGGCCCTGCAGCAATTTCTTAATATGCTTCTACTTTCAAAAATCCATAGTAAAGCATGGCTTCACCAACTCTGAAAAGTCTAAAATGCAGGAGGAAAGGAGTGAACACAGCCATTTATAACTGAAACCAGCAATCATTCATGTGGGTTAATATATAAAAACGTATTTTTTGCAAAAAGAAAAAAAAAGACCCCCTTTCGTGTAATGTTGTACCTCTCAAGTACACTCGTCAAACCACGGAGCTTTCGAAAACGATTCATAACGAGCTTGCTTTACCTCAATTCCTTTGAATCCACAATTTGCCAACATATTTCCAACAGAACGTTATTCCACCACTTCTGCTTTCCCTGCCTCTTCTCCTGTTCCATGTTCCTCAGTGGCTTCCTGTTTTAATGTTTGAACATAATACACGCTTTTGCTGTATTAGTATTGTTTGATACATGAATAGGTAGTAGTGGCCGGTGGGCAGGCCGACATGTTACATGTTGTAGGTGAGGAAAGAAAATATTACTGAGATGACACAACGGGGCTATTGTAGCTGAAGGGCATGCACACACACACACACACACACATATAAAAGGAAAACAAAAAGACTGCACTGGTTTGTATAAAATGTATATGTGATCGTCCTGCGGTTTTGACGTTTAGCGGGGTCATCCTCATGCGGGGCATCACTGTATGTTTATATTTTTTCCCTATAGCAGGCACTAAACTTTCTCACACTGTAGGGCGGTCTCCCCAACTTCTCAGTTGCCGCAAGGGAAGTGCCTCCTTTGGTTGCTGGGCTATGGAAATCCAAAGAACCCAACTTCTAATCTGAACATAGACTCCTAAATAAGAAATGGAGTTCCGGGCCCTGCAGCAATTTCTTAATATGCTTCTACTTTCAAAAATCCATAGTAAAGCATGGCTTCACCAACTCTGAAAAGTCTAAAATGCAGGAGGAAAGGAGTGAACACAGCCATTTATAACTGAAACCAGCAATCATTCATTGGGGTTAATATATAAAAACGTATTTTTTGCAAAAAGAAAAAAAAGACCTCCTTTCGTGTAATGTTGTACCTCTCAAGTACACTCGTCAAACCACGGAGCTTTCGAAAACGATTCATAACGAGCTTGCTTTACCTCAATTCCTTTGAATCCACAAAGGAAGTAGTTATGCCACAAAGGTTTTGCTTGGTTAATCTGAATGTTGTCAGCATTTGTATGGAAATCCCTGGAAAATGGAAACATACATGAAAAAAAGTCTTTCAGAATAGCCAAACCGTTAGGGGGTTTAACTAAGAAATATAAATAGCATACAGCTGCCCTCTGCTGACAGAAGAGGACAACACATTTGCCAACATATTTCCAACAGAACGTTATTCCACCACTTCTGCTTTCCCTGCCTCTTCTCCTGTTCCATGTTCCTCAGTGGCTTCCTGTTTTAATGTTTGAACATAATACACGCTTTTGCTGTATTAGTATTGTTTGATACATGAATAGGTAGTAGTGGCCGGTGGGCAGGCCGACATGTTACATGTTGTAGGTGAGGAAAGAAAATATTACTGAGATGACACAACGGGGCTATTGTAGCTGAAGGGCATGCACACACACACACACACACACACATATAAAAGGAAAACAAAAAGACTGCACTGGTTTGTATAAAATGTATATGTGAAGATATGTGCACTAATGTACAGTACATGCATACATGCAAAATTCGAAATTTGCTCCAGTGAGCAAACCCAGCCTGCGACAGAGAATTCCAGTCCTCCCCAGAACTACAAACTCCAAGATTCCAGCAAAACTGTTCCCAAATTGCTCTAACAGAGTAGAGTAGACATGCTTCATGAGTGAAGGAGGATCAGGTCCAAAGCCTGGTTGCATAATTTGTTCCCCAAGGGCACTCTGTGGAGAGGAAAATAACTTCCAGGCCAGGCCCAATATCTCCTGAGAGCCTGGACAGTTTTTCTGTGTTTTTAAAAAAATGTTTACAAGCAATGGCAATAAATGATACCGGGGGAAAAAAGAGAAAGGCTTCTCTGACGAAAAATCACTATTTGTGCTAGGAGCTCTTATTGCATGCCACAGAAAAGGATCTTGCAGTCAGCAGCTTCCCTCTCACCCTCAAAGAAGCACAGATTCTTTTCCTCTGTGAGTGCCTTTTAAAAGCTCAAAAACCAAACAATAAGCAAAAAGGGGATGATTCCAGGGTATCGTTTGTTGCCCCGTGGAATTAATTGTCAAACCGCTGTCTGGCTTCTTTTGTTTTGCTTTGCTGTTAACTTCCTCAAACCCAAAGGCCTGGAAGAAAGTTTTGGGTTCTCAAGTAGCACACTGAATCCAGACACCCAACCTCACAAGCCTGGCAACTATGGCAGAGAACAAACTTGGGAACAAACACAGGAGTGAGGAAGGAGAAAACTGTTTGCAAAGAGCACCAAAATTTGACACCTTGATTGCGGCCTGGACATTGATTGGCAAAGCAATAGTCCCATTACAATGTGGTCTGGAGTTGCTTAGCTCTTTGTGAGCTCATCTGCAGGAGATCTGGGGATCCAGCACTTCTTGAAAATGATTAATTAAGCCTGAACAGGAAACCCACCCCCACCCCCAAATCTCTCAGATTTAGTCCTGCAAGACATCGAGCAAATACCACTGATAAAATGTATGGTGAAATGGCTCTCTGTGTCTACAGAGATGATGATATAAGTAAAATAAATAGAATACATACGAGTACAAAGGGTTGGTATTAGCCAGATGGATATCTGGAGTGCTTAGAGGTTCAGCTGCTATAAGTATATCTTGCTCTATAGCCATCGGGAGAACAGCATAGCCACAGTAATCGATATGTTCACCTATCCAACCAAAGAGAAAAATCTATCAAAATAACAAGGAAAGCGGCCATACAATCTGTTTTGTAGGGAAAATTGTGCTTCCTGGAGCACAATGACTGGGGAGGGTAACAGCCTGATGGTTTGGAGAGCGGTTGCTAGGCCAAGAAAATGGGGGGTCAAAAGATAATAGTTTGTTTCTGCAGGAGGCAGCTTTGAGCCGGCCTTCCTACTCAGGTTTGGGTTGGCATGAAACTGCTGAACTCAATTATTTTGCTATTCAATTTCTTCTTTTTTAATTATCAGGAAAAGAAGGTGGGCCTATGCATGTTCCTGCCCCAGATGACAAAATTACTGGATCTCTGGTATCAAACTAGCCTAGGTACTAAACATTATGGCTTAAGCACAGGGGATGCCATGAGCTTTTCTGCCTGATCTCCTGGTATCTTAATATAGTACCTTTAAATGTGACCGTGCGGAAATCACAGAGACAGACCAAAGGAAGGGCTATGCCCGAAAGCAAACTTTTGTGTGACACTCGCACACAAGCAAGGCTTTATTGTAAACCGCCTACCGAATTCAAGTTGTTCCTAATTACCTATTAAGTTGACTCGTCCAGGTGCTCGAGCATAAAACTTGGGAGTGGATTTAAATTTAGTCATGAACGTCTTCTTCAGCTTCAGCAATCTGAAAAGCAGGTTGAGATGTTTAAGATGCAGCATCTTCAGCTAACCAGCAGACATTTCAAGAGTTAAGATGCAACAGGCACAAATCTTCAGGTTCAGCATGAACAGGCTCTAATTTTGCAGAAGAGGACTTTATTTCATCTACAGGAGTGCAGATTTATGTTTTCGGACGGGTGGTTCCAGACTTCCCCAGCCCATATGTATGTGTTCTGTGCCATCAAGTTAGAACTGACTTATAGTGGTCCTAATAGGGTTTTCAAAGTGAGTGAGATATTTAAGGAGTGGTTTTACCAGTTCCACTCCCCCAGTGAATTTCCATGGCTGAGCGGGGATTTGAACCTTCTTCTGCCTGAGTCACTCTATCCATGATTACACCATAAACAGAATCCAGCATATATGGCTATATGCCAGACAATATACATTATAGATAATCGTAGTTGCTTTTCTTGCTCCAGCTGGTATCTTTGCAAGAGCTGGTATCATTAGAACAAGAGATTCCTTAGCTGCTGGAAACATCTTTGTGCACAGCAGAAACTTCCTCTTGCACTCACAAACCAACCAGCTGTGCCACCGATCTTCAGGGCTTAAGCGCAAGATTTCCTTTCGTTTCTGAACCAGAACCAAATAATAATAATTTAAAAAGTGCTTTGCATCACATCTTCTCCACGCCGGACCGTGCTTTCCACTCTCCCCAGCCAGCTACCGACCATGCCTTTTTCTCTGCCCTTTTCGCTGCGTGGCAGGAAGGGCTTCGGGGGTGGAAAGAAAAATGGCAGGAGACGAGACCAGGAGCTTGGGAGAGGGGGGGGGAAACCCCAGTCACGCACCTCGGTTCTTCCACGAGCTGGATCGAAATGGTAGGGGGGAAATCCGAAGCCATGCTTCCTGCTCCCTGCCCACAGTCAGGGGAATGCCAGCCGTGGGTTGGGGGGGTTGCTTTTCTTGCTCCAGCTGGCGGGCAAAGCTTGCAAAAGCGAAGATCCTGGAGCGCATCCACTTCCTCCTTCCTGGATTGGAGGGGGGAAAAGAGACAGAAAGAGTAACGCTGGAAGCAACAGCCTTCCTCTTGCAGCCTGCACCGTTTCCCTCTTTTTCTTCTTCCCTTTTTCTTTCCCCCCTCCTTCTTTTCTCTCTCTTCTTTGCAAGAGCTGGTGACCCAAAACCACCCACCCCTCCTGATCATGAATAAAAACTCTTGCAAACTGCGATGCAGCGCAAGAAGCAGCGGCTGGAGGCAACGCACACCCGGGCAGGGCGGTTTGGAAAGGGTTGGAGGAAGGAAGATACTTGATTGCAGGCTCTCGTTGGGTTCCTTCCGCAAGGGGAGAAAAATAAAACAAAACCTGCAAAAGAGGCGTGCAAGTTGCTTGGGAGAAAAATAAAATAAAACCTGCAAAAGAGGCGTGCAAGTTCCTTGGGAGAAAAATAAAATAAAACCTGCAAAATCGACATGCACGCGTCGGATTACTCCAATAATGGGCGGAAACGAGAGCTTTCCGTGGTTCCAACGAAGGCTTGGCATTCTTCCATTCATTCATTCATCCATCCATCCTTTCTCGGCATTCTTCCATTCATTCATTCATTCATCCATCCATCCTTTCTTTCGTCGCCCTGTCGTCAAAGGGAATAAATTCCCATTTATTAATGTAGGGAAGAAACTGGCCGAAGATGTAGCGACGGTTTCTAGCTCATTTGTCTATCAGCTAATAAAATATTGAAGGAGCCGTTGGTGCAACAGTGTGCTTGGAAGACGCAGACACACAAATAATGTCATGGTCTAATAAGAACAGCAGCCGGTTCTCCACCGCCTCCTCTACTAATAATGAAAAGAAGGAAGCAAGTCTTTCTAGGGGGGCTCTGCCTACTCCATGCTGGTGCCTGAAAGCCATAAATTCTGATTTTCCTTATTTCTTTCTCCCTTGCAATGGCTCTTGGAGGGGGGGCAATGGAGGCTGCCTCAGGTTTCGCATATTCTTAGCCAAGGAAGGGAGGAAAATGCTTTTGGCGGGGTTCGGCTCTCAAATATTTCTCCTCAGGATGGATGTTTAAACTTTTGGTTTGGGCCAACACGCCTGTGGGCTTCCATTTGTTCTCTCCGCTTAAAAAAGGTAAATAAAGAGAAAAGGCGCCGCTGGTTCGGTTGTGGAACAACCCAGTTAAGAAGCGCCTCCCAGGAGGCCTCGGTTGCTAAGGGGAGCCCGGTTGCTAAGCGCCAGGCTCCGGTGCAACCCCGATAAGGCTCCGCGTTCCGCACTTTTTTTGTTCCCCGCTGAGGCGAGTACGGAACCTTTCGTTCCCCACCCGGCCGTCACGCGGAAGGGGCGGAGCCTCGAGCCCGCGGGGGCTTGTGGGAGGAAGGGGGAAAAAAAGACACCTTGTCTGGCGTCCCTGCGAGCGCGCATGCGCGTGCCTCCTCCGGCCAAGATGTCTGACATGGAGGATGATTTCATGTGCGATGATGAGGAGGACTATGACCTGGTAAGGCCGGAGGGGAGGAAGGAGGGAAGGGGAGAGCGGGGGGGGGCTTCCCCTCCACCGAGGCGCCCCCCCTTCTCTGAGGGGGTCTCCACCTCTCTCTCTCTCTCTCCCTCCCCCCTCAGTGGCTCCCTTCGGGGGCAGTGACAGGGTCAGCCCCAGGGGCCTGAGGAGGGGGCTTGTGGGGGGGAAGGGAGGGAGAGGGAGGGCCAGCTCCCCCCCCAAGAAAGAGGGCAAGGTCGTGAGGGGGAAGGGTTTCAGGGTGACACCTCGGCTCCCCGTAAGAGGAAAGGGAGGGAGGCCCCTCCATGAGGCCCCTGCCTTGGCTGCCCCAAAGGTCTGCAGGGCCCCCACCCACCTAAAAGCCCTCTTTCTCTGCCCGTTTTGGGGTGGAGGGAAGGGAAAGGAAAGGGTGTCAGGGCCAGAAGCCCTTGGAAGGGGTGGGGTGGGGGGGCTTTGCATTGCACCCCTGCCTGGCCCTGCCTGGAGATACAGGTTGAGGCCGGGAGGGAGAAGGGGTTGGTGGAAATAGACAATCCCAGACCCAGGATGATGCTGGAAGCCCCAGCCTCAAGAGGGCTGGCATCCTCATCAGTTTATGGGGAAGATTCCTATGACAGGTCACGCTTTCTCCGCCACCTGTCGTTTGAATCCGCAAGACAGTTGGAACATCTTGGTGGGTAACCTGGCCTTTCTCGTAGGATTGCTCATAAACAGGTCCAAACCCACTTCTAAGTTCAAACGTAGGATGCAGGGGGAAAAAACAGGACATGTCGTAGAAACCCTCCCCCTCATCATCATCATCATCATCATCATCTCAGAACTTTAGAGGTGGAAGAGGGCCCCTCAAGATCATAGAGTCCAGCCCCCGTCAAGGAGGCAGAGTGGGCCATCGAACTCCTGACCTCTGAGCTATCGAGCCATCTGAAAACCCGGTTATTAATAATTGTGTGCTATCAAGTCCATTCTGACTTATGGCGACCCTTTCCAGGGTTTTCCAGGTAGACAATACTCCAAAGTGGTTCCCCGTTCCCTAATTCTGGGGGTTCCCTGGGACTGTGCAGCTCACCCAAAGCCACCCGGCTTAGCTCTTCTTTCCCTGGAGGCACAGCAGGGGAACCCAAACTCCCAACCTCCGGCTCTGCAGCCAGAGACCTAAACCACTGAGCTGTCCAGCAGTTCATCAGCCCTCACAGACACGTGCCTCCAATTTTTGGACTCGTGTCTATAGCTTTTCTACACTGTCCAGGAAAGGGAGGTGCTCAGCCTGAAGAAGTGGGATTTTCTCCATGAAAGCTTGCGGTTTGTTTTGTTTTGTTTTTTAGTGGTCCAATAAAACGGATTGCCCACTCTTACATTTGTGTAATCTCAGGGACACAGCCTTTTCCTTATTCTTCCTGGACAATAGAAAATGTTGGTGTGTTTGTGTGTTTATGGGCCACAGAGCTTAAGAAACAGTGAGGAGCGGAGATGGAAAGGGAGAACCAGTCCCTTGATTTGGTAGGTGTGGAGCTGCCTGAAGACGTAAAGTGGGGAGTAAAGGATGGTGGAAGAATTTTGTCCACAAGCAAAATAGGGTGTACTGGAAAAGTGGCTTGAAATTCAGAAACATGGGTGGCGAAAACCTGTATTTAGGCCACTACAATATGAATGGACATGTTTTTGAGTCCTGTAGGAGTGTTCTCCAGGCTGGCTATCCTGATGGATTGGAGCAATACAAAAAATTCCAAGTACTCTCTTGGTCAGATGTTAAGACTGTTTGTGGTGCTTTCTCCTCTCTATCTTCCCTCTTATGACAACTTTTGGTGTGTGTGTAATTTTCGTTTTAAATCAGTATGCTTGTATATATTTTTAAAGGAAATGGGTGCTTTTAATTGGACAACGGTCTTAGTTTAATAATTTTGCTGTTTTACAAACTAGTGAGGATGTTGAGGGGCATTGTACATCTTTTAAGCTAAGAACATTCCTAGTTTTTAGACCAGAATGTTTTGTCTAATAATTTATTCTGATTAGTTGTGGTTGTAAGATCAATATAAGGGAAACAGTTTTAAAAATCATAAAATTCATGCCTGAAGTTGTTTGGTATACACTTGGTAGAGCACGAGATAGTTGTGAGTCACTTTTCTAAGGGACTTGATGGTTCCAGGTAAATGTGGATAGTATCACACTGATGATGGTAAAAAATCAAAATCTTTTTTTAGTAGTGCCTATTTGCAATGCATACACTATTGGTTCATGTAATTTCTTCAACTAAAGGAATATTATTATTGTTGAATGTTTTATTTCAAAAAGGAATGTTTTACTGAAACTTTTACTTGACTTGGCAATGCAGATCAGTAGTGATGGTAGTCTGTAGTCTAATTACACAGAGGGGGGAAAAGTTTTCTAGCGATGCATCTGAACCAGGCAAAAAGTTTATATCAAATAAAACTTATCCATCTCTGAGGTGCCACAAGACTCTATGGGTTTGTCTGGTTTTTCTGCAATAAGAGTTTTGAAGCACTGAAAGAGGTTGTGGGGGGTATGCTGGATAAATCCTACTAAGAGGGATACTGGCACCCTTATTTTGAGGAACGGCTGGCTTTCAAGCTGGAATATGTTTTCCATTTTCAGGGTACAAGTTTTATAGGCACGCTTCCCCCGGGGTCAAAAGGGGCTAGACTATTCCTAGGGTTCTCCTTCCAGCTCTTTCCAGTTCAAAGATTATTAGTATCTGGAGGACCCGAAAGAGCAACATTTCTAGAGAATACTAACATAGAAAAATCAGGTATAGATTATATTAAATTAGGCTTAGGACTAATCTGTCTCATTCTTGTACGTACATATCATACTGCAAGTAAGGTTTTTGTCAGATGATAGTTTATTTACAAATATACTGTATTTCTGTAACATCAAAATAAACACAAATATTATTGCTTATGATTTAAAGGCCTGATAGTTGTTTGGTTCTGTTTTGAAATGTTTTTGTAGCATAAGAAATCAGACTTTACTTTTTCATGCCAGTGGTTTAGAACTATTTAAAAAAAATTGTAAGTGAATTGAAGCTCTCTCAGGGACTGTATTGATGTAAAATATATAAATATACAAATCACCCTGTTACCATAAAATCTTCCTGGTAGGTTTTCTGTTACTATGGGTAGATTTGAAGAGGGTAAATGGGGAAACACATCAATATTCTAAATTTGCATAAAGGAACAAATTTAGGGAGAAATGGCACCAATCCTATCCGCCTTCACGACGTGGGTGGCCAAGCGGCATTGGACTGTGACTGTTGCAAACCTTTACCTTCGCGTTGATGGCCTGACCTGATGGGAGTTCTGCTTCCAGCCTCATTGGAAGGGTCTCGCTCTGTGCATAAGAGTGTCAGAACAGGGGGGACTGGCGCAGGCATATATGTGCATAGATTCTTTTGATGAGCAGGACAACCAGAACTAGTTGTCTCGGGACACGCTGGCGCAGGATAGCATTCTGCAACCTGTTACAGCGTGAACCTGCTTATAGGATAAGAACCTTAATGTGCTGAACTGTGGTGTTGGGTGGCAATTGTGTAAAGACCTAAGAGGCCACTAGTTAACTGTGGCACTGGCGTTGGGAAGCTGGCTGCCGGCTTATGTGCTCAACATAAGTGTAGAGGCAGTATGAACTCAGGAGCAAAGTACAGTAGAGTACAACCATTGAAAAGTAATATGTACATTTCTCCTCTCCGCTCTTAGTAGAAATGAATCGGCTAATGCTCTGTGTGTGAGTGCCTGCACAAACATTAATGGCCGGGAAGGGGGCGGAATTGGGGTGCTTTAAGTTGAGAATATCTGCCTTCTGTTGGATCATGTGTTGTTCTTTAAAAATGGTACATTTTCAATCCACCAAAACCTCTTTTGGTGTCTGCACCTGCTTGTGAAAATACAGCCTACAGTTGTCCTTAGTCTTATACTTTTAATGAAAGGTACTTTTTGGAATAAACGCCACATTTTAAAGTATTATGAAAGGAAGCCCCACAGTAACTCCTGAGAGGTCTAAGGATGCGGAAGTGAACTGTACATTAGTTTATACAGTGGTGCCTTGCATTACGACATTAATTCATTCCAGCGAAATCGCTGTAGAACGAAAACGTAATGCAATTTTTAAAAGCCCATAGAAACGCATTAAAACCAGATTAATGTGTTCCTAGGGGCTTGAAACTCACTGTCCAGTGAAGATCCTCCATAGCGCGGCCATTTTCGCTGCCTGTGCAGTGAGGAATCCGTGTGAAAACACAGCGGGCGGCCATTTTGAAACCGCCGATCAGCTGAACCGATCATCGCAAAGCGAAATTCCCCCATAGGGAACATCGTTTTGCGATCGCTTTTGCAATCGCAAAAACATCAATGTCAAGCGATTTCATCATCAAATGGAGCGCCCGCCTTGCGGGGCACCACTGTATATTCATAACCCCCCAGGTAAGAGTCATAGATCGAAAGAACCTGAAAATATATTCTTGAGCTCCGTCTCCAGTCTTCACTGCTTTCATAAGGAATCATTTATAAAACATATGTATGTTTTAGGGTTGCACATCTCAGGAAATGGTCGCAGCTCAGTATTATTATTATGTGTGATCAGTTTTGGGGGGAGGTACCCTGTTTCCCCTAAAATAAGCCCTCATCTGAAAATAAGCCCTAGGATGATTTTTCAAGATGCTTGTAGTATAAGCCCC